TCCCTTCCCGTTATCCCATTATCCCATTATCCCATTTTCCCATTATCCCCCTATCCCCTACCCCACCCCGCTCTCCCAATCCCCGGAATTCCCGGAACAATTCCCGTTATTCCGGCAGGGACATCGCCGTGCGGAACGTCCTGGTGGCCTCCCCGGAATGCGTCAAGCTGGGAGACTTCGGCCTCTCCCGCTACATCGAGGACGAGGAGTATTACAAAGGTGGGATCCGGTGGGATCCGGTGGGATCCGGTGGGATCGGGGCTCCCGGGGATCCCTCCGGAGCCGGGGGAAGATCCCCGGGATCTGGAGCATTCCCGGATCCTTCCAGCTTCCATCAGCCGCCTTCCCATCAAGTGGATGGCGCCGGAATCCATCAACTTCCGACGCTTCACCACCGCCAGCGACGTCTGGATGTTCGGTGCGTGCTGGGATCCTGGGGTGGGCCGGGATCTGGGATTGGGAGCATTCCCGTGGGCCGGGATCCGGGATTGATCCGATTCCCGTGGGCCGGGATCTGGGATCGGGAGCATTCCCGTGGGTCGGGATCCGGGATTGGGAGCATTCCCATGGGCCGGGATCTGGGATCGGGCGGCTTCCCGTGGGGCGGGATCCCGGATTGATCCGATTCCCGTGGGCCGGGATCTGGGATCGGGAGCATTCCCGTGGGCCGGGATCCGGGATTGATCCAATTCCCGTGGGCCGGGATCCCGGATTGATCCGATTCCCATGGGGTTAGATCTGGGATTGACGCGATTCCCATGGAGCGGGATCCGGGATGGATCTGATTCCCGTGGGGTGGGATCTGGGATCGGGCGGCTTCCCGTGGGGCGGGATCCCGGATTGATCCGATTCCCGTGGGCCGGGATCTGGGATTGACGCAATTCCCATGGGCCGGGATCTGGGATTGATGCGATTCCCGTGGAGCGGGATCCGGGATGGATCCGATTCCCGTGGGCTGGGATCCGGGATGGATCCGATTCCCATGAGCCGGGATCTGGGATTGATCCAATTCCCGTGGGCCGGGATCTGGGATTGATCCGATTCCCCTTGGAGTGGGATCCGGGATGGATCCGATTCCCGTGGGGTGGAATCCTGGGAGTGATCCAATTCCCATGGCATGGAGTGGGATCCCAGGATTTATCTCCTTCCCATGGCACGGATCGGGATCCCGGGATTCAGACTGGGATCCCGGAATTCATCCCTTTCCCATGGCTCCCATGGAGAATCGATCCCGGGATCGATCCGATTCCTGTGGGGTGGGATCAGGATCCCAGGATCGATCCCTTTCCCATGGGGTGGGATCAGGATCCCGGGATCGACCCCTTTCCCACACGATGCACAAGGAGAAATCCCGCTCCGGAATTCCAGATGATCCCAATGTTTTTTTTCCCCTGGGATAATCCATCCTCGGGAAGGGCTCCCACCCCCATCCCCCCACCACCAGGCCCTTCCTCCTCCTCATCCAGGGATTTCCAGGAATTTTTGGGATGAATTCCACTCTCCCCACTCCAAACATCCCTAAAATCCCCAATCCCTAAAAAACCCCAATCCCTAAAAACCCCAATCCCTAAAACCCCAATCCCTAAAATCCCAATCCCTAAAATCCCCGATCCCTAAAATCCCCAATCCCTAAAATCCCAATCCCTAAAATCCCCGATCCCTAAAATCCCCAATCCCTAAAATCCCAATCCCTAAAATCCCCGATCCCTAAAAACCCCAATCCCTAAAATCCCAATCCCTAAAATCCTCAATCCCTAAAAACCGCCCCCTCTGGACTCAACAACCTTCAAACCCCCGGGTGAATGCCCCAATTCCTGGGAATTCCTGGGAACTCCCCAAAATTCCCCGGAATTCCCCAAAATTCCCCGGAATTCCCTGGAATTTCCCCGGAATTCCCCAGAATTTTCCTGGAATTCCCTGGAATTTTCACGGAATTCCCCGGAATTTTCCCAGAATTTCCAGGAATTTCCGGGAAAATTCCCCGGAATCCCCTAGAATTCCCCGGAATTCCCCAGAATTTTCCTGGAATTCCCTGGAATTTTCCCGGAATTCCCCAGAATCCCCCAGAATTTTCCAGAATTTTCCTGGAATTCCCAAGAATTTTCCCAAAATTCCCCGGAATTCCCCAGAATTCCCCCAGAATCCCCCAGAATTTTCCCGGAATTCCCCGGAATCCCCCGGAATTCCCCCGGAATTTTCCCGGGAATGCCGTCTCTCTGAGCTCCCTCCGCCGTGTCCCGCAGCCGTGTGCGTGTGGGAGATCCTGAGTTTCGGGAAGCAGCCGTTCTTCTGGCTGGAAAACCGGGATGTGATCGGAGTCCTGGAAAAGGGGGATCGGCTCCCCAAGCCCGAGCGCTGCCCGCCCCCGCTCTACGCGCTCCTGACGCGCTGCTGGGATTACGATCCCGGGGAAAGGCCCAAATTCCAGGAGCTGGTCTGCAGCCTCAGGTGAGCCGGGAATTCCATGGAAAGGCGGGAATGTGGGGGGAAAACCCCAGGGAAAAGCTCCAGGGAAAATCTTTGGATCGGGGGTTTTGTATGGAAAAATTCGGGTTCTGAATCCTGGGAAGCGAAACGTTCCCGTTCCAAAGGGTCTCCGAGGCAGCAAAGACCCT